TTCCATAATTCCTTCGCACTTTCAGCATTTTGGTATATATCAAATAAGGAATCACACATGTTGTTCAAAATATGTCCTCTACAAATATAGTCATCATCCACCCACTTGCTCCACTTCCTTATCTGTTTCAAAGTCTCATCTTCCACTATTTCGGGCATGGGGGTACTCAGCACATACATAACCTTCAATGTTGTCAACAGAAAATGCATCTTTTTCTGTCAACGCCTGAAATCACTTCCTACAAATTTCTTCAACTCTCCAAACTTATAAGTCATCTCCTTCACAGATTCGGCCATGATCACCAACGAAATATCAATTTTAATGTTAGAAAATTAGGATTGCAAAAACAGGGTAAATGGTAATCGGAATCTAGATTGATTGATAATCGTGTAAGTTCACCTTCCCAATTGATATTTCGACCCTATGCCTGGTATCATGAAATACAATCTAGGATAATCCTTAAGAACACTTCCGAATTTAGGCATAAAAACGAAAGCCAACATTATTGGAGAACATTTTGAATGTTCAGATTTTTTAGCAGCCCCAAAACTGGTGTATGTCTTGTATATATACCTGTGCCATTGAAAAAAGATGGATAAGATTGACATAAATGAAGGTTTTTGGAAAGTTAGAATCAGTTGTAGACGGTTATTATCGTCAATGGATAAGATCAAGGGTTCGTTAAATGTGAAGGTCAGAAATCTGAACATACATGTCCAGAGATAGGACTAAGATCATGTCTAGAGATAGAACTATCTCTGGACTTAACTTGTTTGGAGATAGGCGGTTCAGAGATAGGACTAAGGCCAACCAGAGATAGGACTATCTCTAGACTTAAATTGTCCAGAGGTAGAAGCTCTAAATATGGATACCACTTGATCGATTTTACTAAGTCTGAATACCACATGCTCAAACCTCAAAATTGATCAGAAATGGTGTATCCCTTCATTCTGGTCACGTTTTCCCACTGCATTTTGAGTCCAAAATTCTGTAGAGGTTTTGAGGCGTTGCCCCTTGGACCTTGCAAGGGACACTACCTCCTTGACCCCTACCTTTTTCTTTGTGTCCGAAATCAAACTCACTTTATATACAAGTGTGCACTTCGCACCACGTAACTTACTTTAGATCACAGTTTGAAACCCATTGGCACTTGTGTTAATTTCAGTTACACTTAAACATCCGGTGAAACTAAAATCACCAACACATACAAAAACTTTATTAAGCACATAAATAAAACATTACCAATTCCCTCCACAAATACGTTATCACCAGGAGATTTGGGATCTGCAAAAGAAAGGCAAATGGTACAAAATAGGGAGTAAATATATAAACAACATAAACATGCAAGAATCGAGCGGAAAACATAAACCCTACAACAAGATTCCCATGATTTCACATCCTGAAATCTTCAAAATATGTATTGGAAACCCTATTAGAAACTTTAGAAGTTAGAATACTTACATCTGTCATTGGCATCGAATGATTTAATGAAACTTTAAGAAATAATCTTTAAGAATTCTGGAGTGATTTTTTCTTATTTGAAATTAGGAAGGCGCTGAGAGATTTCAAGAGTTTCTTGAGAGATTTAGGGCCGATAATTGAGAACATCGATTTACCGGTTTGAATATGAACTTTGAATTTCGTAGGGGCTAGATAATTTTACGGGGAAGCCTCTTATTCGGACAAATGGGCTTATTGTTTACCTTACTAGTTCGGTTAAGAGACAACCTCTGAAACATTAAGAGGTGAATCATACTTGGCAAAAAATAGGTATGCATCTTAATGGTTCTAAAAACCCTCTGGATGAATATGTATCATGAGCCTCTTTAAGCATTCAATGCCCTAATTTTAATTTAAACAATTACCAAACAATCATATTTCATTCTACACTATATCATAAAAGTCTCTTAATCAAACCACAAGGGTGGTGCCTGATTGGTTTGAGCTTGGCTCCAAAGGTCAAAAGTACCTGGAGGTCCCAGGTTCAAATCCAAGGAAGAATAAAATTCCCCTTGTGGCCGTGGAGGTTCAAATGTGGTGACTCATGGCTATCTGCAAAGCAGGTGGTCTCCCTAGGATTAGTCGGCTCGCATAGCGGATTGGATATTCAGGTTAATAAGAAAAGTATCTTAATCATTCTGACCACTTAATCATACAACATCAAACCATTCAACAATTGTCAAACAACCCCTAAGATTGTGATATAAATTAAGTTTGTTTAGAATCTTCCACTGCAATGCTATTTAGAAAATTACAATTATGGTTGTTCAATTATTATTGTGTTTTCTAAGAATGTGTCACATGCCCTCGAGGGAATTGTGACTGATATGATTCCATAGGAATATCAAATTGATGGAGCCGATTTGATCCAATCATCCATCAAATTGGATTCGTTGCCCAACATTAATTATATTGGATCAAATGATAAAACTCAACTTCTAATGGACGATTAGATTGGATCCGATGAACACTCTAATACCAACAAAACCTTATTCTTTTTTTGTTATGGCTATTTTGCGAAATGAAAACATTTAGGGGGTTCCAATAGAAAACATAGAAAAAAGAAGGGCCTAAAGTGTCAACCGCTTCAAAAGATAAAATCCATACGCATCATAGTTTTGAAGCATGACACACCACCGAGATCCACCAAAACCCAGACTGTGATCGAAACATTCCCGCTCTCTAAATCACTTGCACTCGACGATGATACTTCTCTTCTGAGATAGAATCGATTGAAGTGAATTAAAGATTTTGCGATTTGTACAAGGAAATTGGGTATTCAATAAACCCTAATTGTCATTGTTTTTTCAGATCAAGGAATACTAATCATCAATGGAGACATCTCAAGGAGGATCAGAAAGAGAGAAATCGAATCCTTCGTCTACTTCTGCACCGGTTCCTTCTGTAGCTAATTTTTGGAGAGGTTTACTGCGTTCCTTTTCCTGTCACTTAATGCAGTTTCATTATTTCTGTTAGATATCGTTGATGCAGATCATGATTTTTAGCCCCTTCGTGAGTTTTAGCCCTTTACAATACGAAGTTGAAGTGTTCGGTACATAAATGGCTTTTACTAGCTGTAGTTTAAGATCACTGGATGAATGGTTTGGTCATTGAAAAGACAACAACTAGTAGTAATAGTTACGCTTCTATGAATAGAATTTTTGTTCTATAAGTTGCATTTCAGGTACTGGACCAGTCCTCCCTTTACTAAATTAGAGGTCGGATATATATTCGACAGTGGAGAAACTAATAATTATAGCTCTCTTGCTCACTCTAGAATATTCCTGATTCCTGAACATGATAATTATATTTAACATTAAATAAGAGCTCTACGGAAATGCTGTTTTTTTTTTCATTCTTTCTCACTTAATTTTGTTTTGTTGATTATTGATGTTGGTATTGTTGGAGTCTCTTGTGTTGGAGCTTTAGTATTGCAAAGAGCCAAAGATAATGAGATATTGGAGCTTTTCACACATTGTTTTTCGTTTTAGAGAAGGCAAGTGGGAAGGAAATTTGACCCCATGACCTTCAAGGCATTACCACCGGGGAATGAGGTCAAATACAACAAAGCCAAATGTTTGGTAGTAGTTTTCCACACATCGTATCAAATGATGATGGTGTCTTCTTTCATCGTTACTATTTTGTTGCTATTATTATTATAATTATAATTTTGGTGGCCAAGTGAGTGAGACGTTAACTGAATTTTTGGGGGGGGGGGGGAGGCTATTACCACGTCTATCGAATTAGTTTTCACTATCTTCTGTTTATCATACTGATGTCTTTCAAACTCGTGACTGTTTTTTTTTTTAATTTTCGTAGATAGTTTGTTTAAGTTTTGACTTATTAAAAAAGCTTCAAATACAATGATTATCTATTGTATAAAGTCCTTTTTAGTGGACAATTATTTGATTTGTTATGGCAATGCTGAAGTTTTTGCTGTTCAGTTTGGGGAAAATTATCGTTATTGAGAAACGAATTCTTTCAACTTCTGTGTGTTATTCACAGAGTTTGATTTGGAGAAGGAAAGGAGCATATTAGATGAACAAGGACTTAGAATTGCTGAAAATCAGGAAAACAGCCAAAAGAACCGCAGGAAGCTTGCAGAGAGCACCAGAGGTACTAAACATTTACCATTGATAAAATCTATTTGGGTTGTAATTAAGTATATATTTTTTATCTGTTAGTAACAAGGCATGTTCATATCTGCTTTAGCCTTTTAATTACTTGGTGGCAGATTTCAAGAAAGCTTCAGCAGACGATAAATTGAACTTGTTCAATTCATTACTTAGGGGTTACCAAGAGGAGGTTGACAATCTTACCAAGAGGGCTAAATTTGGAGAAAATGCTTTCCTTAATATATACCAGAAACTTTATGAGGCTCCAGATCCTTATCCTGTTGTTGCTTCAGTTGCTGTGAGTGCACACATGTTTCATTTTGGCTTAATTTCAAGTATCCTTACATGTAACTAGGAGTCCCCGGATGTACCATTTGCTGTGAAAGATTGGTATATCTGGCGAACTCCTCACTTGTCCTTGTGATATGTCGGTAGGACAGTACCTATGATAATAAATTGTGCGCTTTCAGAAATGTCAAAAACATGCAATAATTGCAGAGTAATACAACAGCAATCTAACGTCTTCCAAATAATCTTTTCTTTATAAAAACGACCTCTGATTTTGAGTTCCTAACAAAAGCCTTTTTCAGAATATTAGAGTTTTCGTCATTGTGGAACATCCTTAAAACTGCATATTTGCTATAAATTGGTAGTGGATCTTATGGGATATCAGGTAGGATTAGGAAATAAAAATTTCTCCTCTTTATCTTTGAGGATGGCATCTAGGCACCAGGAAGCGGGTCTCATAGTTTGTAATTTGGGAAGTTAAAACATAAAAAACTAGAAACTGTGGGATAAGTAAGTTTGTTTATGATATGAATACATGACAGGATATACTTGGAACTGCCAAAGGGGGATTAGTTGTTCTATGCAATGTTGATTAAAGAATGGCTTCTTCTATGCACCGAACAGAAAAAACAGCTTTCGTTTAGTTGTCAGATCTAAGATAAATCAAGGATTTGTTAATATGCATAGAGTTATTGTACAATTCAAGTTGTTGGAGAGGATTGCGTCACTCTATCACTACTAATGTCTTTTTATTTAGAGCATAATTCAATACAAGAGATCAAGCTAATTATTATTCTTATTGACTACATTTGTCTTAGAGAGGTTCGTTTAAACAACCTGTACCAAGTCCAGTTGTGGGATAAAACAATGGTTATTTGGTTAGCAAAGTAAACAAGGGATTATATATTACATGGACTAAATCGGTTAAGCTGTGGCCAATGTTCAGAAACTAATACTCGAAGGTCATGTGACATTTTGTTTGCGTCTCTTAGATTTGGCTGTCACTGCTACATTGCCCTTTCTCAAGCATTATAGGGCCAAAGTGATGATTGAATGAGTTATTTTGGGTAGGCCATGTTATGGCAGCGAGAATATTTGGAACCCCATTAGATTACCCTTCAAAAAAGCTCTTGAAGAGAGAAGGGAGGCTCCAATATATATTGAGGAGGAATGGTCCAAGTCTGGTGGACGTGGGACTCTAAAACGCCCCTTCCAATGGAGAGTAAACAGGTATATATTGTCCCAGAGTGTCGAGAGGGCGCTAGACGAGTATAGATTGCCTAGAATGTCAAGTCCTTAGTGGTACGTCTTTTCTCTGATACCATATGAGAATATGTGGAACCCCCAAATTTACTCTCCAAAAGAGCCCTTGAGGAGAGAAGAGAGGTTCCAACATATATTGAGGAGGAATGGTCCAAGTCTAGCCGATGTGGGACTCTAACAACACCTAATACCTCACTTCATTGAAAATTAGAGAGGTAACTCTTCATATCTACTGGATAGAAGTTCTTTGAAAGGTTCTCTCTCAAGCCCCTGCTAGTGCCATACAAGACCTATCAACTTTTAAGTTATAGAACTTGCTTTTGAACACTTCGTGCAAAGAGATTCTAGTGAGAAATCAAATTCATTCCTATTGATCTTTTTGCTATTACATTGTCTGTTAATTTACAAATTGATTTGAACTTCATTTGTTATTGCACACGTGTACCTGACTACCTGTGCTAAAGAAGAGACACTGCCAAGCTTAGAAAATGTATTGGTTAATCAATTCATAGCAATGATCTTAAAACACTTCTACCATGTGCTTGTATGCATTTCTTTTTTAGAATATAGAGGAGAGAGATTTTCTAATTTTTCCAGAACAGATGTTTCACTCATTTTCTTCAATCATCACCATCATCATTGCTCCCAAATCCCTCCATCATAAGTACTCCCAAAGCCTTCACAATCAATGCTGCTCCTCAACAAAACAATAATTTTGCTAAAGTATTTACTTCTTTCAGCAAGTTAGGTCAAAACTAGGATTTTCATATAGACCCCCAGTTTTTTACCAAGTCAATAACAGTAAAAAGTTATAAATAAATATCATGTACATTCAGTTACATATGTGTGCCCATGTAATGGGTGTGTGTCTATATTTTCCATGATTTTAGGTGACATGTGCAATCTGATTATGGGAGTCTCAGTGGAATTCATCTTAGTTGATGACAAGAAGACTAGACAGCTTTAACTAGAATTTTAATTTAATCCTCCTTTCTCTTCGTCTTCCTGTGTGAGTGCAAGTACAAAGCCTCTGCACTTTTAAGTCTTAACCAGGGTTGCAATCACATCCTTTTGCCAAAGTCACTAGGATCACCATTGCATATGCAATGCCTTTTTCCACATTTTGCCACTCACTTTGTCCACTTCTCTCCACTGCCAATAGCTTTATCCAGGATGTTAGAATCTGCAATGTGCTAACTATTTTTGGATCCAAATTCTTGTTTATTTGCTATTCTACGTGGTAGGGCAGGGGCAATATTACCGCTAATTAGCCAATTGGTTTTCAATATAAAATTCAAATTTGGTTTTTGGAAATTGCTTGTTTGTACGTTCTGTACCTCTGTGTATGGTTTTCTTTGTTTGCATGAATCACTTGAGAGGTATATTAATTGCAAAGATCCCCCTCAAATCATTGAAGTTACAAATAGACCTTGATTTTTGTAGTTTGGCCCGCGTTGTTTTGGCTTTCACTTTCCATAAATTATTATAACTTGGTTAGTGGACAACATTTAACTAAGCAATACTTTTTAGAAATTTTGAGTGCTTAGAAGTCCTGTACACATATTTTGTATTAAAAATATAATAACATTGAGAAAAAAAGACTATTTTATCTTTCAATTTCATCTCTTCTCTTCATCATCTCTTGTGCTTTCGTTTTACTTTTTGCTGTGCTCGATGTGAAACTTGAAGACATCAGACCATTCCTTTTCCACTATTTTCATTCACAGTAGTTGCTTGTAGGAATGAGTTGATTTGGCTCCTAATGCATGTTTAATCATCTGTTGAAGTGCATGGAATTCAAAAATTCAATAAATTGGTTTGGAGACTAGAGAATATGATTTGGATTGTGAACCAGAACATTTGGTTATGAAGTTTGAACTAAAGGTAAGTTGGGCAATCTATATAGTGGTCCGTCAGAAAAATATCTTGTTTAAAAATCTGGAGGAAGATGATATGTTTATTAAGGATTCTTGTTCTCTTATTCTGACTAAGTTCAGTAGCATAATAATCAGGAAATATCTACTTCAATAAAATTTTAGGTTCTTGGGATGTCTAGCCATTTTGACTCCTGATGGCTTCTTTGGCTGTTTTCACTTGATTTTTTGCTCTATATGCTTACAAGACTTGTTTGTCAAATTGTATTAGGAAAATATGATATTTCAAGTAATTTCACTGGGTTTCTGAATATCAAATATCTCTGTAGTGTGTATTTTTGCTCAGTTATCGACTCTGTTTGCCTTCTCTTTTCCATGTCAATAAAACTAAGTTTAAGTCTTTCTTGGAGGTGTTGGCCTATTCTTCTGTTGAGGTGGAAAATGATGGTTTTATGAAAGAAAGGGGAAAAGGTTTCAGGGTAAAGAGTCCATTGTAAAACTGGATGGGCAAATGAATAAGAAATTAACCGTAATCTTTCATGGAAGCTACCATATTTCATGATGGAATATAAATTTATCTTGTGTACGCAGGAAAAAGATTTGAAAATATCTGATCTAGAGTCAGAGAACAGGAAGATGAAGGTTGAACTTGAGGAATTTAGAACAGAAGCAACTCATCTAAAAAATCAACAAGCAACAATAAGGCGACTAGAGGAGCGCACCCGACAATTGGAGCAACAGGTTAGTATTTTCAGATGGCCATGCTAATTTATCGTTGGTCATGCTTTCTAGTTTGGTACGTTCGTGGTCTAATTACATTTCATAAAAGGAGTCCAGCTTGGTGTTTTATTTGAAGTGAGGATGCCATTGCTTTTTGTTCCTCTGTGTTCTGCATATTTGTAATGTTCTGGATTTGGCTTGGGTTGATTTTTCTGATTTGAAAGGACCATCCTGCTCAGTGCCGAAATGTAATTGTATTTAGCATCTTCATAATGGTTGTATCTTATATAAGTTGTCACAATGAAGAGCAAGGTTCAACTGCCAACTTGTGTTGCTTTGCCGAGTATATTTTTCTTCTCTTGATTACACATCTCATTAAAGGAGGTCAGCTTGGTTTTTGGTTGAAACAACTGAGTTATTGTTTTTTTGTTCCCCTCTCATGCTTTGTATAGCTTGTTTGTTTGGTTTATGTTGATCTTTTTTGGTTGTCAGTTGAAGTGTATTTAGTATCTTCGATAATCATTGCTTTAGCTTTTATGTAATTGTATCTGGAGTTTTTAGTACATGTCACATAATTGTTAAAGGTTAGGTAGCAGCAAGGCACAAAATGCCCCCTTTGTGTCTAGGTCTAAGGTGTAACTGGGGCATGATGTTTATAAGAAAAGCACTTCGTGATAGTCACATGATCCTTGGACAAGGTTTGTTCTAGGCCTTGCTATATGACAAACATGGGAGTTTTGGTCCGGGAAAGTCTTCTGCAACACATGTTTTGATGTCCAGTCCTTTTTTATCAGTTACACATAATATGAAATTCAATGAAGTATCTCAAGAAAGTTAACCTTGGTTGAAGTGATCTTTATCGACTTAAACTGCAAACTCATGAAGCAACTGAGCATAATTTTCTGCATTGTTTGTGTTAAATCCCTTAATCTCTAGCACATTCTAATGAGCTTATTCATTTAAACATAAGGTGATAATTGATATTATTTCCTGCTTCTATATAATTGAGATGACTCTACAGGATGCGTCTTTGTGAGACTGATATTGGTAAAAAAATTGGTATCTTGTTTGGGTTCGTCTTTCAATTTAGATTCTTATTGCTTGATGTTATCTTCGGTTTTGATATCTTGTCAACTGCAGTTGATTGTTGGCTAATAGAATAGTCCATCTATCTTAGTTTGTGCAACATTTGTTCATGAGTGTTTAGAATAACTGTGTGAAGTTCATTTTCGTGTAGTAGTCGAATGATGTAAAGATTTATCCCACTAATGGAAATTTTCTTTTGTTCTTTAATGATCTATTCATAAATGAAATAAACCTAGTACAGCCCTCCCGGAGGTTGGGTCTTT